CAGGGACCTTCAGATCTTCAGTCTGACGCTCTCCCAAATGAGCTATTTCGGCACAAAACAGAGGTATTTCGACACAAAAAAGTGAGTTGGAGTAGCACAGACTACATGAAAAGGATAAGCTACAATTTGTAGGGACCATCGAGAGGCTTTTGCATTTTCTGTCAGCATTGATGGGGGAAGCAGCTCAAAAGGCATGGATTTCTGTCCTCGGCAATGCTAAATGTCAAGCTCACATATAGCAAGGACAATTGCCGAAACCCGGGATTGAACCAGGGACCTTCAGATCTTCAGTCTGACGCTCTCCCAACAAGAGCTATTTCGGCACAAAACAGAGGTATTTCGGCACAAAAAGTGAGTTGGAGTAGCACAGACTACATGAAAAGGATAAGCTACAATTTGTAGGGAACATCGAGAGGCTTTTGCAACTTCCCTTAACATGGATAGCGAAAGCAGCTGAAAAGGTGTGGATTTCTGTCCTTGGCAATGCTAAATGTCAAGCTCACGTATAGCAAGGACAATTGCCGAAACCCGGGATTGAACCAGGGACCTTCAGATCTTCAGTCTGACGCTCTCCCAACTGAGCTATTTCGGCACAAAACAGAGGTATTTCGGCACAAAAAAGTGAGTTGGAGTAGCACAGACTACATGAAAAGGATAAGCTACAATTTGTAGGGACCATCGAGAGGCTTTTGCATTTTCTGTCAGCATTGATGGGGGAAGCAGCTGAAAAGGCATGGATTTCTGTCCTCGGCAATGCTAAATGTCAAGCTCACATATAGCAAGTACAATTGCCGAAACCCGGGATTGAACCAGGGACCTTCAGATCTTCTGTCTGACGCTCTCCCAACTGAGCTATTTCGGCACAAAACAGAGGTATTTCGGCACCAAAAAGTGAGTTGGGAGTACCACAGACTACATGAAAAGGATAAGCTACAATTTGTAGGGACCATCGAGAGGCTTTTGCATTTTCTCTTAACATTGATGGGGGAAGAAGCTCAAAAGGCATGGATTTCTGTCCTCGGCCATGCTAAATGTCAAGCTCACATATAGCAAGGACAATTGCCGAAACCCCGGGATTGAACCAGGGACCTTCAGATCTTCAGTCTGACGCTCTCCCAACTGAGCTATTTCGGCACAAAACAGAGGTATTTCCGCACCAAAAAAGTGAGTTGGAGTAGCACAGACTACATGAAAAGGATAAGCTACAATTTGTAGGGACCATCGAGAGGCTTTTTGCAACTTTCTCCTAACATGGATAGGCGAAAGCAGCTGAAAAAGGCGTGGATTTCTGTCTTTGGGCAATGGCTAAATGTCAAGCTCACGTATAGCAAGGACAATTGCCGAAACCCGGGATTGAACC